TAACAAGTGCCTTACTAGTAGTAACAAGGACGCTACGAACGGGGCTCCTGGCCTTACTACTAAGGCATGGATCTGAAAGGGATCAGTGTGGATACCTCGAACTGGGACTCCACACGACCAGAGGGGATTCTTTTGGGGAGGGCGCCCGCATCGTGGGACCGTTGTGACAGCTTGATGGTGTCTGACATGGACAACGATATTACCTGAAGACATAGCTTCCTGTATTCGGGTGTTTTGCCCAGATGTGTGGATGTTAGAGGATATTTGCCCAGATAGCTATAGGGGTTCTTACTTCTCAACGACTATAGGTGGGCGGATCGACGTTTTGGTCCCACCGCGGCCGCTCCCTTGTCTCCTCCCCACTGGCTTGCCTGTGCGATCTCCCCAATTGTCTCTCCACTTGTCTCCTTACATGTCTCCCCACTTTTCTGCCTGCCTGATTCGCGTTGGTACAATCATGCCGCTGCTGCCTTGTCTCCCCACTTCTCTGTCTTTTTTTGTATCCTGTCTCAGGTGCTTTGTTTCTAGAGTTGGTTGCCACCGGTGTAATTTTACAGATTTTGATCAATGTCGATCTCCTATGATCTCCTTAGATAGCATCTAAAATTGTAGTAGACATGTCACTTCTCAAGATTTGGCCAAGAAGGGCTTCGGGCTCCCGGACACGCTGCGCGCAACGCAGCGTTGCGCAACGCGTCGTGGACCCGCAGCTCTGAGGTTTTGCGATCTTGGAACTCTCCGTATGCGAGATCGACGTGATGAACCCGTACATGATGCCTCAAGGATGCAATGGGGTCGCAGGGTTTAGCCAACAAAGACCTCAATCAACCTCACTGGTTAGGCAACCATCAAATCATCCTTGGCCTGCAGTTGTTGTGGAATCCAATGAGAAGTGCAGCGGAGATGTACCGCAGATAGCTTTTTAATGTTGTTTACATGTCCTGAAATCCGCTTTAGGATGCTTTAGGTGATTGTGTTGACCTCCTTAATATATTACTGGTACGTAGCTGTTCACCTACTGTACCAAGGCATGTGAAAGCTATTCTGGTCACAGCGAGACCAAGACGTCAGTGTATCCACTTCCGGCAGAAACTGAGGCAGCAGATGGGTGGAGGGCCCCCCTATGATGGGGTCCCCACCCATGATGAAAGGCAAAGGGAAAGGACGCACCAGTCATGGTCTGCGGTGGGTGCAGTGGGTCATGGGGTGTAGAGGCACATGCGACGTGTAGAGTTGAACAGTTCTTTTTCGACGGTGAAGGGGGCAAGGTCGCAACTTGGAACCCAGAGAGCGTCTTTTCGATCATGCCACATACACACAAATGGTCGATACCGTGTCGATACCGTGTGGAAGTGAAGCAAGCCATGTCCCTGCCCATGCTTTTGTTGATAGTTGCTCCAACTTCCTATGCAACTTCAGCGTTTTCCATATTTTTACGTGGAAGCTGACATTTTGGTGAAGTGGTCCTTGGACAGCTTCAGTAACGTCAATGCCGGCCACAACGCCTTGTGTCAATGCCCAGTATATGGCCTCCAAAGCGTGGGCTTAAGTGAAGAAGATGGCATGCAAGAGCCACAGGGAGTTGGAAGCCTCCTTAAAGGGATGGGCCAAGCATCGCAAAATGAGCCTTGGAGTTTTCCTCCAGCACAGTTGCGTTTGGTGGGCATCACTATAATTGTTACACACTCAAACTCATATACATTCACTATACCTTCACCCGATCGTCCAATATTCCACGATCGGCAGCCCCGATGTTGGATGAGAAAAACAGATCGAGAGCCGCCACAAATGGTTGGCATATGTTGGCATGGCTAGAACTTTGGAAGCACCTTGATCACAAGCCTCGTGGCCTACGGCACACGCCGCTTCCTTTTTTGGGTCCTTTAGGTCCTTCATGAACATGGAAAACAGAAAACATCAAGAAAAGAAGAAGATACGAAGAAGCAAGACGATGCAAACAGAAGACATCAGAACCTGCCCATTTTTGTCGCGTCTTCTAGGCTGATTAGCTGCATTTCGGCCCCGTTTTGCAGGACCCAACATGGGAGCGATGGGCGGATGTATGGGGCCTGCAGGATGGGACGGTGTGGTTTCGGCTGGGCGATGGGGAAATCGGAACATCCAGGACTGGGAAGAACATGGAATTCTAGTATAGCTTCTTGTTACTGGTAGCGATGCTCGGGTTCCTAGTAGCGATGCCAGGAGCGCCCCCCAGTAGCGAACATTGTTACTATAGATGTTTTTTTGTCCTAAATTCAACATCCTTCAATGCCTGCAGCCCTTGCCTGGGGTGTTTGTTTTGGGGCATGCAAAACATGCCACACGCCTTGTTGGTAGCCAGAAAGGGCTTTGTTCGTTTTTTTCTCGGCGAGGCTGCATGAGGCCTCCTGGACCGATGGGTGGTGGTGGTGGTGGTGGTCTTCCGCCCATCATAGCTCCCAAGATGGATGCTCGGCGTAACGGGGGGAGGCGTTGGAGGCCGAAGTGGGGTCGGTGAAACGATCCAAAACAACGACTTTTGGAGCTTCTAACGGTAAGGGAGGTGAGAATTGAGAACGAACACACCCATGCAGACATTCAGACACTTTTTTGGGGGCGAGAGAGCATGCCAAGAAGTGTGAGACATGTGCGCATGTCTCTTAAAAGTGGGAGACCCGCTCCATGGGTGACACATACAGCTATATATGTCCGCTTCAGGATCTTGAACCGGAGTGAGCTCTCCTGAGTCCCAGAGACTCTCCATGTGTAAACGACGCCAAGTGAGCTCTCCATGACCTATGAGACGGCTGAGTTTGGAAATAGGGGGAGCCTGCCATATAACCGCATCACCCAGGTCATGCCGCCCAAGCAGCAGATCAATCCGAAGCCCTGTGGAGCTTCAAACATGCCTTGCAACATGGCCTCCTCGGCCAACATGACGCCTTTGGGGGGGCCCAAGATGCAAATCCGGCCACAGGCGCGTCTCGGGCATGACGTTTGGGCGAACGGGGACCGTTGTCTTGGCGGGTAGGAAACCATGGCAGGCAGCTTTGTTGTCTTTTCGGGATTTGTATTGGAATTGGAACTGTTATTTGGAGATTTCACGCCAGAGACACGAACGAGGTGGCCCGCTTCACTCCCCCGTTTTGCCTGCCACCAAGAGATGCAGGCGCCAGCTATGCAGGCACTGGGTGGGCCCAAGCCACCCGGTGTCCCGCCGCCCAAGAACATGGCCATGGGCGGTGGCATGGGCGGCGGCATGGGCGGTGGCATGGGCGGTGGCATGGGTGGCGGGATGGGCGGTGGCATGGGCAGCGGGATGGGTGGCGGGATGGGCGGTGGCATGGGCGGCGGGATGGGCGGCGGGATGGGCGGAATGCCTGGGGCGCTGCAAATGTCTACGCCCAAGGCGTCGAGCTCGAACTCCAAGAGCTGGGAGCAGTGGGAGGACCGTTTTTTTTTCGCGCAAAGGCTCGCAGAGCTAGATTCAGGCGAATGAAAGTAGACTTGGGATGACTTGGGAGATTTGGGATGCTGGGGGACGGTGAGTCCAGACCCTGAAATCCCATTCATTTGGAGCTTTCAAAGATGTTGTTGAGAAGAGAACACTCCTCAAGTTGCTTTGTCCTAGGCTCAACCAAGCTCCTAAAACAATTTTATCTCACCTTCCAGCCTAGAACAACCTGTTGGAAATCTTCTTGAGGATGTACGGCAAAGGGACAGGGGCTTCGTCAGCAACCCGTTGTCTCTCTTTTGCACTTCCGTAGCCAAACCATAAGCCGTCAGCCCATGACACAGAGCCAGAGCCAAGAATGGTGTCTTCCAAGAGGACGGTCATGCCAACATTTACCAACATCTTTTTACAACGGCTCAGCCACGCCCCTGGGAGGAGAATGACTGGTCCAAAGGCGGTGGAGCTTCCAATGACTGGTCCAAAGGCTCAGCTTCCAACGACTGGTCCAGCAACGACTGGTCCAGCTCTCAAGCGAAGGATTGGTCCAAAGGCTCTAGTGACTGGAACGAGGATTGGAAAGGAGCAGGCTGGATGGACGTGAGACGGACGAGGTACTGAGGGTGGCCTGGTATTTTTTTCTTATCATAATCTTCATTTCTCATTGTTTTATGGAAGAGCAGGTGAACCTATTTCAGTCGTGCAGTTGGTTCCTGGTATTGCCGAACTTTGATACTTGTTTGCTTTGATACTTGTTTGCTTTAGCATGAACGTGTTTGAGCCACCTGATTCTATTTGTGCGCTGTATGCTGCACAGGAGATTGGAATGATTGGAAGAAGGACAAGTGGAAGAGTTGGAAAGACGACGAGTGGGGGGGATGATTGGAAAGATCCTTGATGAAACACTTGCTCTAAAGTAGCATGTTGATGCATGTTACGATGTTGATGTGTTGACTGTGTTGACTAGAAAGATGCCCTTTGTGATCACAGATCCAACAAATGGTGTGCCAATGCGGCTGTGCCCCCAAGAATAAATTGGTGTCGTGACCCACAAACAATGTGTTCATACGCCATCAACTTTCCCGAAACTTGTGTTTGAGCCACCCCACGCGTCACGTGGGCACATCAAACTACAGATCTTGGACATGTCATGATGGCCTTCTTGCTTCGCCCACCTGTGGTCGGCTTTCGGTGCCTCCTTCCTCCACCTCCAAGGATTGGGATTGGCGCAAACGTGGCAAGGGCAAAGGTGATGGGAAAGGCCGCCGACGTGGGAAGGGCGACGACCTCGAAGTGGTCATCAAGGGCCTCCCTGCACAGACTGAAGAGGCGGCCATCCGGGAATTCTTTTCCTCCTGTGGCGACGCTGGGCAGTCTGTTGTTGGGGGGAACCCTACAAAAGGGAAGGGAGCAGATGTTGGGCTTTCAACACCCATCTCAAAGTTTGTCAGGGTACTTGATATGTACTTTCAGACCAGTTGTTTTGACATTCAAAACAGTTGTTTTGATGGAGTACTCATCATGAGTCGCCAAGGAAGTGACGCGCATCACAGTGCCAAGATCAGGGAAGATGATCTTTGTGGCCTTCAGCACTCAAGAGGGTGTAGACAGCGCCTTAGGCTTCAACAAGACCTTCTTCAATGGCATTTACATCGAGGCCCGGACTGTGTAACGTGGAGAACGCCGGGACCGTTGGAGGACTAGTCCAACTGCATGGGACCGAGCGCAGGTGAAGGCTGCCGCCGAGAAGTACGAGGCCAAAAGAAGCAATGACGACTTGACCGTGGTGGTGAAAGGCTTCCCCGAAGCTTCGTTTTTTGGAAGATGGGAACCGGGTAAAGGCCGACCAAACATGACCAGAAGATCCAGAAAGCATCACGGACAATTGCGACTTTCCAGTGTTCTTTGGCCCGTGTTCTTCCTGAAGAATGTCATACTCACAGTGCTTCACTTGTTGAGTGATGGGAAGCTTTTTGGGTCTTTGGACCCGCACCACACCTGATGCACGACATCCTTTTGAGTTGGGACCTGCACAAGTCACAAGTCATTCGGTCCATCATTGAAAAAGGTTTGAGTATTTCAGTTTCGACCGGCTTCTTACCAACAGGATTGTATGTATAATCCCTACCCCCGTGCGGGGTATGAAACAGCGGGGAAATCTAGGAAATGTAACTTACTATTTTTGAGGGGAGGGGAGGGGGCAAAGGTTTTGCAACTTACATTTCTGGAGGTCCCGAAACCTTCAAAATATCAACATGTAACTTCCTGCCTTGGTATTGCCAGCTGTTCCTTCTAGTGTTCCCCAGGAATATCCAGGAATCTCTGAGTCTTACATTTGCTGGAGGCCCCCCAACAACAGGGTAGGAATATTGTAATATACTTTGAACAGTGCATTTCTTCCATGACTCGCTCCTTTGAGCACAGCCTGGATTGACATGGATTCAACTTGGATCCAAACCAAACTGAGAGGGCTAGTTGAATCTGCAAACTGGAAGTTGCCCAGAGCAAGCATTCAGGATACCAGTCCCGACTTGCTGCATGCTGCAGTCCCGACGAATGGCCTCTCGCATCATGCATCATCTCTCCGTCCCATGTGTTTTGCTGGATAGCACGGAAAAGAACACATGTTTTCTTGCCTCAGCATGATCCTCAGATCCATTTTTGCTTCACAGCCTTTTTAGTCTTGAGGAGTTTCACATGGAAGAGGACTGAGACTTGTGGACCTCTGAAAGATGTGGAAGATCCGAAAAGGAGCAGGAGGATGTTTTCTCCCCCAAAACAAACTCCTCCCACGCCTTCTGCGGGACTTTCTTCATCTTTGTTCCTCTCTTCATCATCTTTGATCCAACACGGACTTGAGACCACCTCTTTCCAGACCCACTGACCACTCCAAGGACACCGCCGACGAAGCCTCCTTGAGCGCACACTTCGGCTCCTGTGGCGAGGGCCCCGTGCGGGTGAACGTGCCGCGACACCGGGACGCTCGGTGGAGCAGTGGGGAGCAGCTGCTGGGTGACCTGCCGGAGGGATGAGGTGGTTTTCCAGGATTGGGGGGGGTAGGCCGGGTAGGGGCTAAGGAGATCCCCAAGAGGCTTTCTGGGCCACAGAACGTATTGGTCATTGCATTGCTTCATATTTGTTCCGAAGAGACCAAGACTCTTGAGGTCCTGCAATGTTGACAATCTAAGCCCGGATGATCAAAAGTAATCAAACGCGTCGAAGCAAGTTCAGTGTTAAGCATACAACAGGCCTTTAGGTTGCAGGTTGCAGACCTTCAGGTCCTACTATATTCACGTGGTTGTCCAATTGACCGGCATCTGCCGAGGATACTGGGAACGTGAAAGGTGCGGCTTTCGTGGAGATGAAAGACGAGGAATCCTTGATGCAGGCAGGACCAGAGCGCTCAACCATCCAGGGGGTAGTTTGTTGTGTAGGTTACTGTAGGTTCTGATTTTGATGGCTGAGGCAGTTTGGCGGTGTGTGGTTTACGACCAGAAGGGGACTTCAAGTCTGCAAGGCTCAGTGTTCACTGGGCGTGGGTAGCAAACAGCAAAAGAGATACCCAGTTCGTAGGACTCAAGTAGACTCGGCACAGCAGTTTTCGATGCCTAGGTTTGATGCCGTCGGTTTTGCAGTCAAACATGGTTGTGTTATGGATTGTTATGGTGTTTCATTCACTTTCCCTGTTACTATGGCTTTTCTGGGGGTCCCTTTTTGTGCGACGCATCCTGTGCATCAACGCACCTCCTTCCAAAGAGTGTGGCTCAGAGGTCCGCGTCCGTTCTGGCCACTTCGCATGTACCACAGCCAGCGACTTTGTCAGTGCTCATGGCAGGCAGCTGGAGAAAGAATGGTGTGCCTTTGGGAACGGATGAAGCCAAAAACACCAACCCCCACACCAACCCAAACCAACCCCCACACGAACGCGCTCCGGAGGCCCTCCAGCTGGACGGCTCGAGCTTCCTGGGTGCACCACTCACGGTGCGGAGGGCCACGGATGCCATCGAGAAGGGCGCCGGGAAGGGCAAGCGAGACCCTGGGCACAGAAGCGGAAGCATACGGTTTGGGCAAAAAGCATACGGTTTCGCAAACATTGATGAATACCAGGTACTTCATTCAGAGCGTTTTTTCTTTTTTTAAGCGATTCTCTTTGTTCGCGGCTCCGACAGAAGACCTCTCTTCAAGGTGCATCACAGAATTGTGGCAAAGTTGAAGTCCTCGGGTGCGGCAAGACCTCTACCAGGTGACTGAGTTTGGGGATGCATCGTCTAGATCATCGTAGATCTAGCATGCAGATCAACGTGAACTCTCATGCCACCATCGAATGGTCACCACTGGTTTGTCGAAGAGTATGCTTTGCAGGCGTCATTTTTCTATACTATGGGTCCGTTGAAATGGAGTGTTTCTTGAAGTAGAGGTTGAATGCAGGTCTTTCTTCGGGAAAGACGGCGCACAGTGACGCTCCTTTTTGGTTAAACACTGAACACTATTATAGGTCATTTTGACTTTCAAGAAGCTCGGGGCAAGTGATAATAAGCAAGACGGTCATTTGATTGGACCATTTCTACGTTTCGCCCTTTTAACTGAACGTCTGCAGCTCTAAGGACAAGGAGAAAGAGGACGAGGTGAGTGTGGTGGTGAAGGGTGGCTTGGCGTGACCAATAGCCTGTCCCTCGCGCATGTGCGTCACCAAAGCAGTACTGGAAGTGTGCTACTCTTGTAGCTAGCGCAACCACTTGGAATGTTGCTCTCTAGTGTCAGCTGCCTTGACCTCTGGTTCTGGTGTTGCAGTAGACTTCAAAGATTCCTCCCGCTAACCAGCTGTTGGGGTTGATGATTTTCTAGGTTCCAAGCCTGTTCTGGTCTGTGCAGGTGCATGCTGATTCTTCAGGAGAGCGAGAGAGTCAAACTGAAGCTGAATTTGATATGGGACGAACACCCCTCAGTGACGGTAGACTGCAAACATCTACCAGAAAAAACTCACGAAACTGAACTCGAATGCACACGAGCATGCTTGAGCATGCTTGAGCATGCTTGAGCAACCAAGCTAGCACTTCAAATGGACCCCGCAGATTGTCTACTACAACTCGTCTATATACATAGTAACAACAAGCTACTAGTAGCAAAGGGCATCACTACTAGGAGCAAGGACACTACTAGTAGCTCCTGGCATCGCTACTAGTACCAAGAAGCTACTAGTAGCAAGGCTCGTCTACGGCATGGATCTTCCGCTGCCACGTCCCCGCCGCCTTCCAGGCTTCCCCATACAAGATACGGATGAAGAGACGTTGAGGAGTCTGTGGGGGCGTCGGGGGTGTCGGTTTGCCACTTGGGACGGATAGAAATCCTTCTCAAAACCACAGCGTATGCAAGCGAAAATGAGAAGATTCACCATGCAACGTATGGGGCTTCAGTTGTCACTGGGGGTTTTGCTGCAGGGAGGGGCTGCTTGGCATGCTTGATCCAGCTGATCTGAAAAAAAGGAATTATGTTTGTGATCGAGGCACAAGTGAAGTGTTGGCATCATCGGTGATACTTTTTTAGGAGATTCAAGGATGGCCACCAGTTGAGCTCGCCCCAGCCTGCCACAACTGCCAGCTGGCTTCCATTACCAGTGTACCAGGAATGGCTTCATGGTCTGCGGGGAAGTGGTCCGGATCCGCCTGCCGCGGGGGAGCGACGGCTTGCCCAAAGGGACGGCTTTCGTTCAGTTCAGCACGGAGGAACAGGTGCAGAGGTGGGCCGACCCGGGTGGATGAGCCGGTGATTCGGTTTTTCTCGAGTCATGTTGAGCTGGGGTTGACAACTGTGAACGCTTGTTTTGTTGTGTGAGCTTCTCTGAGCCCGTCCGCAGAAGTTGGGATTATTTGACCAAGCGGGGCTGGCGTGTTGAATTTGGAAGCACATATGATGTATAAAGAGTTTTAGTGGTGAACAACATTTGGATCATCAGAGACTCTGCAGGGCACTGGAGCTGGATGGCCAAGATATCTTCGGCTCCGGCAACATCAGACGCTTGGATTCAACTGCTGTTGGCCGACGGGTGACAGGCAAACACAATAGAACTCATTCAGGGGGTGGGGCAAGATTTTGTCAAGATTCAAGAAGCCATGGGTCATCCAAGAATTCTGAATCAGCTGCAGTCTGGAATCCAAGGTGTCTTCTGTATCCTTCGTTTTGTGACACTCTGCATGACACCGGGTTTGCCCTACTAGTAATAGCCATTCAGTATAGTTAGCCACTCCCCCACAGCACGCCCCCACAGCAGATCCTTCGAGGCAACGATCCGACATCGCATGACATGCAGAGCTGCTGTCCACGACGCCAACACCAACGACAACACCAACAGGAGTAGGACAATGAGTTGCATACCCTTTTTTTCCGGAAAGCATGTTCTGGCCATACTAAATCATCTGTTTCCATCGATGTTGCACCTCCAAGCATTTATATATTTGCGGAGAGCATCAGCAGACACTCATCACGTCACCAATTCCAAAGGAGCCATAGCTCCTTTTGTTGTTCGGAACGACCTTTTTTGTGCGAACATTGATTTTGGACTTCCAAAGAATCGCCAAAGAAACATTTTTTTCTTTTGTCATTCTGTTGTCACTCCATCGACTCGGTTGATCGACTTCTTTTTTGGAAACTGAGGGAGGCCAGTGAGTCTCATCAATCCACTTCAATGACGCAAAGATCGAAGAAGAATCTCCAATTGTCTTAACGGTTTGGGTCCAGCTACCCAGAGATTTCAGTGAACGAAGAGGTTTGACATGTCGCTGCTTTAGCTAGCTGGCCAGCACCTCTCTGCCATCCAAGGTGTGCATCGGGCCAATGAAAAGAGGAAGGACCACAAGGACAAAGAGAAGAACGATGATTTCACTGTTGACGCCTGGCAGACTAGTTGTTGACCACTTGTTTCACTGGACTTGGTAGTCTTGGAGCCTGGGGTAGCCTTGGACACGCACCTGGGAATGGGTTTCATATAGACGCTTTCCAACCACTCCAAACTGAGTTCCAAACTGCTACAACATGAAACTGAAGTTCAACCGTTATAGATAATGAACTCCTTTTACATCAGAATGCATGTCAACACCGCCTTCACAAGCTGAAACAAAAGCTACGGGTGGCTGTCAGTCTGTAAGTCGGCAGAAGGCTTGTTTCCGCTAAGGCCCTTCTTCAGAAGCTCACCCAAACCAATGATCAACAGACCACCAGGCCGCGACTCGCACCGGTCGGTACCCACTGAGTGCGAAATGCGAGGTGGTGCGGGGACTTCCAGACTGGGTTCAAGAAACGCAGTTGAAGTCTGACTTCGGCAGCTGTGGGCCCTTAAAGCGAGTGCCTTGGCCGGGGCGCGTTTTTGCGCCGACCAAAAAGGGCATCGTGAAGTCGGTGGGGCGGTTCACTCGACAAAACGCGGCGTGCGTGGTCTGTCGGTTTGCGGGGTTTGGGTGGTCACGATGGGTGGTTTCGCAGTCACATGAAACATGGATGTGTGTGGCGGTGCATGTTCTTTGAACATCTCGAAGTTAAGACTGTGAAATTGGTCGATTTCGACCAGAGCTGAGGGTGCGGAATGTCGCATTTCCTGGTACGACCCCACAAGACATTAGCCATGACTTTGTGGTGCAACGATTTTTCTTCACTGCCGAATTTTGGTCCAAGCACCTTAAGAATATTTTGTTTGCATATGTTTGCATGATGATGGCCGCTTGAGCTTGAGGTCTCCGTGCCAAAAGACAACAATGGCAATGGCAAAGGATTCGTGTGGAGCTCAGCTTTCGCTCCAGCTCAGGGTGCGATGATTTGTGCAAAAAAACATCATGTGGAGCTTGCCTTTGCCACAAACAAGAGCTTTCGGAAGTTTGTTCCTTTGAGTACTTCTCCATGGACCTCTAGAACAGCTCTTCTGTCATGACAGCGTCTTTTGGGGGGCTACTCTTTGGATTCGATATCGATTTCTCCAGGAAGCGGGGCATCACCGTGTTTATCGTTGTGGTGACCACATCCCAGTCCCAGCAGTTTGAGGTCACCAAGACCCACCGGTGAGAAAACCAAGCTAGATCAAGCGGAAGGCTAGACCAAGCTGCATGCCTGGCTGCATGCAGCTGGTGGCCATGTTTAAGCCTTTTCGGTCCTTCCAATCGCAGCCCACCTCGGATCGACCCAACAGCGCGCGGTCCCGTCACGTGGCCTGAGGGCTACGTGCAGTACAAGAGCGACGACGCCGTGAACCGCGCACTGGAATGGCACAACACCTGGTACAAAGGTGTCCAGATTACCGTGGAAAAGCTTGGTGCTGACAAAGGAGACATGGATGTGCTGGGATGTGCTGCAAGATGTGGCGGGTGGTTGAGCAAGCTAGCACGTGCATAAAGGGGGGCTTGGGCGTGTGGCACGTCACATCTGGTGGCAATCCGCCGACGGCGCCTTGAAGAGTTGAGAGATTACCAGACCATTTCGCTGTTTAGAGGGTGAAATGGTTGCACTCCCGAAAACTAACATAGACATAGACCCTGACGTCCTGGTCCCTCCTGGTCCCATGGAAGACGATTTTCCTCTACCAACCAGGGGTTTTTAGGTTCCATGTTAGTCTTCCAGGGTGTAACCAAAGGTTTGGAGATGTTTGAAGGGAAAATACGGAGACCGTCACCCAGGTTTGGAGTGATTTGTGGTCCAATTTCGTACTTGCTGAGGAGCATGTCAGGTTGAGATACCATTTTCGTTGCCCAGAATGCCTCAAGTTGGGCATGTTCTCATCGACCAAATGTCATGATGGCATATACTGAGCCCACCTCCCTCTTCATACTCCCTCTTCACACGGATCAAAAAGCCCATGCCATGAGCCAGAACTTTCGGCGTTTGTTTCACATACAAACCGAGGCTTTGAAAGGGGGGAGGCGGGGATGGGACAAGATGTTATATAACCGTCGTTGGCGTTGGTTGCAGAACTTTTGCGCTGACCTTTCCATTCATTTCTCCCCTTAGCCCTCCATCGCCTCCCCTTTTCTCGCGGCCTCGCCCACCAGGACGTGGGCGCGGAGGACGGCGTGACCGGAAGGAGCGGCTCCCGGAGGGGCCCACCGTGAATGTGAGCGGCCTGAGCTACGAGGCGCGCGTGGGCGGCTCGTGAGCTTGTGGACTCTTGGGAGTGAAGGGTTGTCTAGTGAGAGTATACTTTTCCCCAATGAGATGGGACTAGTGCAAGGTACCCACCGGTTTTGCCTATCTAGTACCCAGTATAGTGGTTAGGGATGTGTGCATGTGAATTTATGAGAATTTATGATTTGAACACCACCTACTGACCATGATAATCAGGCTGTACCAATCAATTTGGAAGCTGGAGGCCAGGAATTTATGATTTATGTAATTTAAAAGTACTGGCTGTTGATGAAGTACCCCGCGCTTTCGTATCAAGATATTTGGGTATGATCTGGGATAGTTACATTGCTTGTGTGTGTGTGTGTGTGTTTTTTTTTTTGCGAAAGAATCCTCTCTATGAGTCCTGAAGGTTTTAGTAGTGTGGATGTTGAAATCGGCATTGTTTGGCAAGGATATGTGGTAGAGCAGTTGGATTTGGAACCTTGTAAGGGTTGTTTACCAGCAATGTTCAGAAAAGCCTACGTTAGTTGCAAATCAAGACCAACGTGTACATGTCACCCTTGGTAGAGTGAATCACAGTCTTCCCATGATATTTCCCGCCCAGTTTCCTGCTTTGGTTAAATGTGACATTCAAAACCCATGGCACTTATGATGCCCAAATCCAAGTTGTGCCAAGCTAGCATCCTTTCTCCAACTCGATTGGTCTCAGATGAGGGGATCCCGAAACCGCTTCTGGATGACCGGTTGTAATTAGGTGAAACTCATGATTTGGTGATACCCGCACCATGAGACCTTTCCTCGAACTTCAGGTGGTCGATGGCAACAAACACCATGCAAAACAGTCCAGTCTTAACACACAGTTGAATGGATGCCCCCCAACGAAACCGCGATCTTGGTTTTGGTGCTTGGCTTTTGAACTCGCATTTACCTCCACAATAGTAGCGAACATTGCTCCTAGTAGTCAGGCCAGGAGCCCTGTTCGTAGCGTCCTTGCTCCTACTAGCGATGCCAGGAGCCCCTAGTAGGGAACATTGTTCCTACTAGCGTCCGAACTTGCAAGCAACGCCGGCAGGTCGATGATGAGCCACTCGGATGGACTTTCGAAAGGCCCGAGCATCGACGGTCAGCTGGTCAGCTGGTCTTCACAGGTGAGACACAGAGGAACAAGAACGCTACTAGTATCAAAGGGCATCGCTACTAGGAGCAAGGACGCTACTAGGGGCTCCTGGCCTTACTACTAGGAACAAGAAGCTATTAGATCTATTAGGGGCTTCTTGTTCCTATAGTGGTACGATCGTCAAGGTCAACGGTCGCAGGATCCCACAAAATGAATCACTTCGCGACTGGTTTACGAAGCGACGCTTCTTGCTCCCTCAATCGGATTGGCAAATCCAAAACTGCTAGTTGGTTGTAGGGCCTGGGAATGTCCGCTAAATGTGCCGCATGAGGCAGTTGGCTTGGTGCAGGCGTTGCATCAGAAATGTGGTTAAAATTTGGATCTGGCCCCGGCTGCCCCATAGCTGCCTTTGCTCATATTTTTTAATAGATATTCACAATAGCTGATGCCTGAACATAATAGCTGGCTGTCGGTATCCAGCAAGAATAGGCAGCGTTTTGGCCAAGCATGTTGCTTCATTTAATCTTTTTGGTGGCTTGTGGTGCCACAGTAGGCATTCCTTTTGTTCCAGGGTCTTTGCCCCGAACTTGCTTGGAATCTACTCCTACCAACCGTTGATTCGGCCGTCCAGTGGCTATTTGTGGCTACTTCAACAGTCCAACTGGACCCCACCAGACACGAAAACCCGTTCTTCCGGGCGCGGTGTTTCGGACCGGACCCAGCATCCGAGGATGCTGAAGCAAGCCTTCGCAGCCTGTGGAGAGGTCGTGGCCTGCAGGGTGAACATTAGCAACAAGGGCCGTTCCAAGGGAAAGAGTCGTGGAACAGGCCAGAGGGGGAGGTTCTTTCCGCTGGACGCGCGCGAAGGAATGGACGCGTTCCAGGCGGCGTCCGTCCGTTCTGGGCTCTAGTTCTGTGTCTGGACTGACAGGCTAACGCCTGGCAGGGAAGCGAGGTGAAAAGGGAGAAGTCATGACAAGCCGAGAAATGTGAGATGATGAAAAGGTTTGTATAGTTGATAGACTTTGTGCTGAAGTTGGGGGTTGTTCGAGAATCCATAAGAATGATTGTCGCTCATACTCCAATACAAGCTGATAATTGCTGATACAGGGCTGATACACATTGATCATAGTGCTAAATATCTAAGAGGTTTCATAAATGCACGAATAACCTTCATCGTCCCGTGTGCTTGCCCCGTGGTGCGAAACAATCTCAATGTGTGCTTTGCTTTACCATGTGTCATTTGTAAGAGTTCCCGAGAATACCTGGGACTATCAGATGAACAACTTTGTTTAGGGAACGTCATGATGTGTTTGTCCGGAAATTGCCGCTCTGACGATCTAACCTTCATGTCAGAGCTCCTTTGAACAGATCGTCCAGAGAGGATTTGCTGTACGTACTCGCTCAGCGGCTCCCCTGCGTGCACGCGCACACACGCGCGCGTACTCATACAGGCTTGGTGGTCTTTGCGACCGAAGAGGCCCAAAAGAAGGCCGTGGAAACCATGGACCAGGCGCGATTTGTCGAGAAAGTCTAAGAAGCGGTCAAAAGGAGTGAATGGTTGTCGCTTGCTTCACTGGATTAAGCCTAGAAGTTGTTGGTACCGGATAAATCCTGGTAACCTTCGAAGAGATGAATGCACTGTTGGGTGGGTACAGGAGAATCATTGAGGGAGTATACAGCCTTTTGAAACCACTTAAGGTTGAGTTTTTCTCTTTCACTCTTTGGAAGGACCTCCAGCAACTCCGCTCCCAACCCCCCCACATGACCTCCTTCTCGCGCCGGTGGCACGTTGAACACCGGTGTTCCTCCCGTCTCCTTCCCCCCAACCGCCCAGCCGACGCCGTTTCCCCGTCCGGGTGCGCAGATGGAGCTCTCGGGGCGGACGATCACCGTGAAAGAACGAGCTGAAGAGGCCGAGTGGGTGAGGAGTGCGTGAGGATGCGGCATGGGCGGGAGTGGGAGTGGGCACGGGGGGTCGCACTGGTCGGTGGGGAGGGGGGAAATGATGTAAAAAGAACGTTCCATTCGTTGGGATGGGACCTCCCTGTGGAGCGGAGCGACGCACCAGGAGTCGGTTGGATAGCAAGTCACAGGTGGAGCATAGCTAAGCAATCTGATGGTGGCTAATATAGTAGGTGTTTCAGGAATCCTTGATGCTCGCCTCAGCGCTTGTTTTGTGTTGTCGTCCGAAGAAGAGTCTTTAATGGGTTTCTCCGCCAACTGTCGAGGCTGGGCGCTTCCAGGTGTTTTCTTCCGATTTGGATGGAGCCGAACACATGAATGTCCCTTGGGACTGGGTCAGATGTCTCCACCTGATGCAGGCGAAGTTGGACTTCAGTGCGCTGGAAGGAGAGGGTGACAAGACTTTGCTGGAGGAAGAAGAGGAGGATGAAACCTGATGGAATTGAGCTGATGCTTGTGTTTGGTTCTCAGCATATGCTTCTCTAAGGTACATTCAGGAAAGGCACAGTACCTCTTCATCCAAGCAGATCAGACCCTTCCCTCCTTCAAGACATACAACAACCAACCAGTCTCATCTCCCAAGCTACTTTGGCCGGCCATCCATGGGTGAATTGCCTCACGACTTTTCTGCTCTTTCACCCCATCCCGGTCCCCCAAAAAAGCTCCTTGGGCAAGAAAAGCCGGTTTTCTCCCTTCGTCCGTGCAGTCGCCCAATCCAATTGGAGAAGGCCACCGGAGAAGCCAAGGACTGGGAGAACTTCGATTGGGAAGATGCCTCGGACGACTCCGACTCCTCCGACGAGGCACGTTCTGAACACCGGTTTCGGGGAGGGTCCTCCTGCCCTCAAGAGCGAACACGGGCGGGATGATGAGGACGGGCGCCAGGTTTTGGGAGGATGAACGTTTGTGCACGTCAATGAATCCATGTTACATGTAGCATGTTTTCCTCTCCAAGTTTCCCAGAAAGGCGCTTGTTTCAGGCACCCCTCAGAAATGGTGTTTGTGTTCTTTTTCTTGGACAAACCACAGTCCTTGAGTACAGGGTAGAAAGACGCACATCAGTACAGTCCAATACGCACGCATGACACAAAGATCAAAGCCATGAACGGCACGATACAAGCTCATGCATGCCGCATGCAGCACAACGGTCTAAGGTCAGGCATGACCTTTGCAAACACGGAACCGTTTCATCCAGAACAGAACCAACATGTCAATGTTGAAGACAGTGGCCGTTACACGTCTGTACTTTGTGCAAATTTGCAGATGTTTTGCGCTCGTTTCGCGTAATGTGGCGCGTGTTTCGCACAACCACTCTGGTCCCAAAGTAACATGTCTTAACTGGATAGAACTAGGGGCAAAATGGTCGCGCAAAACGGTGCAAAAGTCTAACCGACTAGACTACGAAATGAATGCTCATGTTCTCCATCGACCTGATATCATTAAATAACGCTTGGTGTTTGGGTTGTAAAAGCTCGACCAGGAATCGGCCAAGCTGCTTCTGAAGATCCTGGCAACAGGTTTCCTTACTGGCCTAGCAGACCATGAATCACTCAAAATGAATGCTTGCAGCCAAAATGCTGCAAAACACCAAACACATGCAACACACATGCAGATACGGAAGAAATCAGAAGACTCACGTTTGAGAAGCTGGAAGGACAATGAGTCCCGACTCCCACTTACCAACTTTGTGTGCCAAAACTTGGGTTGGTAGACCTTTCTTTTGTCTACCATATGCTGGTCCTGCAATGGTTTGATTTGGATTTGTACCCAAATGAAGGAACTCAACCCCCCAGCCCCGCCTACAATCTAGAAAACTATGCTTGAATGAACGATTCCTTTCGAGCCCTGCACCAGGATGATGAGGATGATGACTGGGATGAAGACGAAGATGAGGAATATCGGGGCAATGTGGTGGGCTTAGGTTCACCGTTTCCACAAATGGTAGACAGATGGTGTAACGGAAACATCAAATCATCAGATGAGGGGTGCTCGTGCAGATCCAAGCCATGATCCAACCAACGACTTGTTTCTCGTTGATGCTGATGTCCGATTTTTGGTTCTGAGGCACCTGAAGAAGCGGGGCAGGCTGGAGAGAGTTGCGGCCAATCACCAAGATGTTTTGAAGGTTTGGCAAATGGAGACTGGTCCTCTATTCTCACTTGTAGGGTGCTTGAAGAATTGAAGTATATAACTGGCCAAACATTCATCAATGAAACACTCCTACAATGAGAAGCTACCCTTAGAACCACGGCTTTAAGCTACCCTTGTCACCTCAATCCTTTTCAAATCTTGGTCCGACCCATCCTTTTGCTAGAAGATCCATCCCACATGGCCAAGTCAAACTAGACTTTGCTGCAGGCGGATGCCAAGGCGCTGGCAGTACCAAGCCAGCCAGAGACCTCAGATGTTTCTGTTTTGCCCTCGCAACCTATGGATGTCGCGCCGGCCATGCCCAAACAGCCTGCACTGCCGGACCAGTCTGCGGTGCCTGGGGCGGATGCAACAGCACCTGTGGCCGCGGCGCCTGAGCAGTCGATGGAGCTGGGACAGGTCACAGGAAGTGCCTCTGAGCTGCCACCAGTGCAACCAGCGGCCATCATGGAGGCGCCCACCAGCGCGCCGGACACTGTGGTGGACACTGGGCCGGTGGCGGGCGCCGCTATGGAACATCCGGTGGCTGCCATCGAGGCTCCCGCGCCTGCCATGGAGGCTCCAGCGATGCCCAAGCAGCCGATGCTAGCGCCACCTGAAGCGAAGATGGAGATTCAGGTGACTTGGAGGTGAAAAGATGTTCGAACGACCACTGCACCATGTTCAGTGAAGTTTTGGACCCCTAAACTTTTGGAGACTTGTCAGGAGAGATCTTCAAGCCAGCTCAAGCATGCTTAAGCGATATCCCCATGCATCAACGATTGGCCGGATTCTCCCTGGCAACTCTCGTGTTGTAGTCCAATTCAATGGAGTGCCTCCGATTTCCACTATATTCGAGCACCCAAAAGGTGTCCAAGCACCTTTTAGTCAAAAGTCGAAAGGCACCCACTGGATGATTTTCCCTCAACTTGGACCCGGTCGTTTGCCAAATCTGAACCAGCCACCAAGTTTTAAAGATGTTGTCAGCCACTGGCTTCCCTGAACCGCCTGAACTCTTGGCGGATTCCGCATGGGCACATCCAAGGCAGAGCCAGCTACTGCCTCATCAGCTGATGCAGCCATAGAGAGTGCAGAGAAAGCAGAGAAAGGCTGCTGGATCTTCTATTCGGGTGCACGGTCGATGGTTTGTAGCCATTTTTGTTTGGCATGGTGTAGGGAAGCTTTCAAACCACCAGATGCTGCAGGGTCTGGTGTTCGACATGTTCGATATCCTAAGTGCACTACTACTAGTAACAAGAAGCTACTAGGTTGGAGGCCATCGCTATTAGGTTGGAGGCCACTACTGCTAGTAACAAGAAGCTACTAGGTTGGAGGCAGTCTCTACTGG